AAGGGACTGACCCCCTCTTAACACTGACACCAACAAGGGAGCACCATACCAACAGATGGGGCTTCCGCTTTGTAACCGGGACTTCCGCTTTGTAACCCAAATCTCACCTTTTTCCACAGAACCCCAAAGACCCCCCAAGCCACCAAGCTGTCGTGATAAAAACAAACATATAAACTATCTGCTGGCAATATTTAACAGGATGAGTAGTAAACCTTCTTGCTTCGTCAAACTTTCCTAAAGGTCCAACTCCTGCAGCTCCTCTCTACCACATGACCCTTATCTCATATCAGGACGTTTTCCAGCTCTAATATTTTACTTTTTCCTGGGGATCATCCTCCCCCCTCAGCTTATCTTCCCGGGGTCTGTCTCAACTATGATCCTGACCATACCCTTTACATTAAGATTTGCACTTTGGGACTCTTCCGCCCAAACTGTCTAGTTATTAGTTTTACATATTTACCCCCAATATGAGTTGAAATACAGTATTCTCATATAAAGTTCAGAGCACATTTTCACAATATTCTAATTCAGTTATGACCAATGCAACTACAAAATGTATGCATGATCCTAGTAAAGGGGTTTTCCATTCAGCGCCAAAGGTTATATGTCTACAGGCTCCAGTGATGGAAATCTGACTCTGGGTAGGGTAGGAAAGGCATGCAATCTCTGTCAATTCTTGCTGTTTATTTCCCCATTGGGGAGATTTCATCTCACTTCCTGTCCTAGTGATCACACAGGAAATGAGGAGAATCATCCCATTGGCAAAACAACAACACAAACCTAAAAGAGGTTTTAACCCTTTCCCACTGTACTAAAAATCGTACATATTATTGTCTGTGTTCCTGTTAGATTATCAATAGTTAGATTGTCAATCCTCTGGTCTCCCACAATGCTAGGTGGTTTCTGTTATTCTCCCTGATTTAATAATAGAACACATTACTAATATAGGTTCTGCAGAAAGAACCATCGAATGAGCGGGGAACTGGAAGAAACCACTGAGTGCATCTGGGGAGTGGGAGAACGACACTCCCAATAGTGATGGTTTCTGAAGACCACTTCATCTGGGAACTGTAGCAGTGTTTGGTGTTATGAGGGGCCAGCAGGTTAAGTATTCCCTTTCTTCTTTACAGGTACATCTATAAGCACTTCAAGTATACCGACGTGGTATATATTGAAAATGACTTTTGAAATGTTATTGTCATGTTGAAGCAGATTTTAATGATTAGGTTTACATCTACTTTTAGAAACAGAAAATGTGCAGAATAAATTAAAATAGTTGTAGGTGCCACACCAGCATTACTCCCATACATACAAGAAAATGTAATCAGCATTAAACAGTCTCTATAATTACATCATTATTGCTTTTCACAGGCTCGGTATAGAAGCTAGTAACACAAGGCTTTAAAATCCCGAAAACAGGGAAATAAAACCATTTACTGTATGCTTGCCTCATTGATGGAAACACTTCTATTACTTTCCATCAGGCAAATAGCTTATTTTTTATTGTGTCTCCTGAAGTTTGCAGACTCTGCTGTTTTAGGTCAAAATGACCTTCAGGATTTTTCTCCTTATTATTATTTCACGGAAGGTTTGATGAACAATAATAAAACTAAACAGCAGCAATTCCTAAATGCAGCTCCTCACATCTTCCCGATAACAACAGGCAAATCTCCTGCATACAAAGTAACACAGACTGGTCCTCAGCTGATCTGCTTATCAGCCGGACAAGCTCAGATCTTCATTTAATCCACATCCTGCTATTGTGAACACTGATATTCTAGCTGTTATCTGGGTAAGTATAATTAAAAAAAGAAAAGTTTAAGATGTTAGTGTTCATGTAGAACGGTTAGTAGCACCAAAGGTAAATGCAGTTATAGCCTGTCTGTGAAGGAGGCAGGTAAGGAAGATTACCCTTTTAATTAGGAAGCTAAAGGTGTCCACAAAGTGTGGGCGCCTGTACAAAATCAACCTTGCAACCTGCATCAGTCATACATAAGTGTTTAAGAGTCCAACCCACACACATACCTCATAGACCAAAAATCCAAATGAGGTACTATAGTATCAAGTAGTAGAAAGGCCAACAATCCAAAGATGCTCTTTGCTGAAATCCTAATTTCAGTTTCAAATAATAATTTAGGACTTGTTGGAAAGTGCCAGTGTTTCGGGGCCACATTAGCAAGACAGATACAGTCTGGTTTTTGCAACAGTGATGTTCTAAGGTGCTGTATGACAGGGCCATCTGACGTTCTTGCATATGTCAGATAAGGATATTTTCTTGGCAAATATAAACCCCCCCACCCACCCCCACTAACCAATTCTGCATGTTTTTTTTTTTCTTTCTTACCAGGGGAAGAAATATATACTCATGTAAGTCTGATGTCCAAGTCCCTTGCTGGTGTAATTTTCAGGTTCAGGAAACCATTAATCCAGTGCTGAAATTGTGCCTATGCCAGCCACATAAAGTTTCCTCACGCCAACTCTTTTCTAGATCTTGAGAGGACCCCACTGCTGGACAGCCAATAGGAATTGTTCACATCAGTGTGTGGACACTCGAACAAGAGAGACAACTTGGGACTGGAGCCTCACATGACCACAGCTGTAGGTGAGTAAAAAGGGCATTTAGATTTTTTTTTTTTGAGGGGATAGGGGGAGCCCAGAGACCAGCTTTAACGCTGTAACTCAGTAACAGAATGAACGAGGGTTAATCTTAACATTTTAGGTTAGGTGAGATTTACTTAATTAAAGTCATTTTTTTTAATTTTAGGAAGAATTGGAAAAGGTTGGTTGCTTTGTCAGGTTTTATTGTTATCTGTGTCCAATTTGGGGAAAATTGAGTATCATACAAAAATATTAGGTAAAATGTAATTAAGGGCCACACACGTAGTGAAGAACATATGCAGCATGAAGAACAAGTTATTTAATTGCCAACAGTCTAACTTGTTGTGATGCCATCACATTGCTACAGTCCTCTGGAATATGAGATGACCCTGTCGCTAAACAGCCATTAGGAATTGTCCATGTCATCCAGGCAGCAATATTGACACCTGAAGAAGGACATTCCTACTCTTTCAGTCTAGGTGATGGAATGCTCAGGACCCGGGGCATCACATAACCACTAATTTAAGTGAGTAAAATAGACTTTTGGTGTCCTCTTTTTTTTGCTTTAGCAATTAGAGGGGATGGAGGTCTTTTTTGTGGTGGTCTCTGGTTAGCGCAGAGCCTAAAATATTCTTCACAAGTCATGTGTAGTCCCACTGCACCAGACATGGTGGTATACCAGCATACCTGCCTGTATACACTTCAGCACTGAAAAGGTATTTTAAAATGGAGGGTATCAAAACCAGATCTTCCTCTCAACATCAAAACACTGCTGATTGGCATCATCTTCTTTTAAAGAAGGAGGTTCGGTTACTGGGTAAGTTTATGTGTAACTTCCACAGACTTCGGAGGAGGACATCCATTGCAATCCTAGTTCCTTGGTGAATTAATAAATTGGTAGTTTTCCTAAATGCAGATTTAAAATGCTTTGTACAATATTTCATATAGATCAATTAATAAATTACCAACCCAATATATATAGAGGAATCTCCAAGAATCCCACACACCAATAATAATCTAGAAAATGTAATTTAGATCCTTTCAATCTGCCATTGGAGTAGGTTCTTAATAATACTATTTATTATTACATCTGTCAAATAACATGCCACATTTCTGGCAACATTTACCTGCGCAAAACTACTGGTACTTACAAAAGAGAAGTCTTCTGCATTTCGACAAAGCAGCTTGGGAAAAATGGCCTGTCTCTGAAACAGATCTTCCTGCTCGAAGATATTTCCATACATGAACCCATTCATCATGGTGGAATGGGCGTGGATGTCAATGTAGAACTCCAGACTGGTTTTCTGTTGGCAAAAAAAAAACAGTTGCTATTTTTTTGTAACTCAATTCACACAGCTTTGTGAAATGAATTTCTTGCAAAGATGGTATACAGCAATAGCCAGTAATATACAGTAATAAGCAAAAGCAGCTTTCATCAATTTTGAATAATGGAAATAAAGAAAGATCCTGCATGCCTTGTGAGGTCTGAGCCTAGATGCCCAGGCTGTAAGCTTGGAGTACTGCTAACATGATGATCATTTCAAAATCTTCTAAATCAGACACCCAGAACAATTTATTGTTCTCTATTAATGTATAGTGTTTGTTATTTTTCTTTATTAGATTCAGAACTAAATCAAAAAAGTCACTTGTTTAAGTCAAGTAATTATGAAATACTGCAAGTGAATGTTACATGTTCACATTTCCAGCCAGCAAAAGAAAATCTAGACTCATTTTCCTTGGGTTTTTTTGGCTCATTCACATGGGTGCAGAAGTCCATACACCATAAAATGACAGTCTGCGCCCAGGGGCATATATGCGTACTGCTCAGAGTTTGACATCAGTGGGTTGGACCTAGCTTTGACAAAACTAGGATGCAATGTTCCGGCGACACTTCCTCATAGGTCCTTCAGCCCTACCCCTGCTATGGAGAGGATGGTTGCTGGAGAAAGTTGTGTGCCTGGTTTTGCTTAATCTTTAATCAACACATAAACATTGTCATGTTGCGTTATATTGGGTGGGCAACAGTGAAGATCAAGACTATCAATTATACTCATCCGAACCACAATCCCGGCTGGCTCCTAGACTGGTCCCTTCAGCCCTCTGCTCCAGCAGTCTAAGGCCCAGTGAGTCCTCAGGTCCTATACAGTGTATAGGATGTGAGGACCCCGAGAAATATACCATCACCAGAGCGGAGGCAGTCCTCAGGAGCCAGTCTAGGAGTCAGCCGGAATCATGATAAAGGTAAAGGTTATTTTAGCTCCCTGGACAAAAAAGCACTGACCCCCTGAAGCGTGGGGGCAGCCCCACTGCAAGGTTTAAGATTTTATTTTCCCAGAGTTTTCCTTTAAGTCAGTCGACTTTGCCCAGGCTGAGTTGATGTCATTAGTCAGCTGCAGACAGGAGGAAGCATTTTCTCAGTCTTGTGATCAAACTGCAACATTGTAACTTTGCCAAGGTGAGAGAATGCAGCTTGTTCTGTGTTAGACATTTGTGAGAGAAGCCATGAACTGCACAGGCACCAGGATTTACAAGATTGTGTCACCTCGGGGTCTATCCACACTTGTCTGTTTTCATGGAGCAAAACTCATGCATTTTGCTGCATTAAGATGCATTACAAGTAGGGAGGAACAATCAACTGTGAGCAGGGAACTGCTTGGCCACATTTTGAGATGGTTTGGGATGCAGTCATGTAATTGACCCTATATGGCTACATGCCTATCATTGGTACATTGCATACCTAATTACTAGACATGTGCACAGAAAAAAAAATTGATTTCGTTTTGGTAAAACTTTTTAATTCGTTTCGTCAAAGGAAACAAATTGTTTTGAATTTAGAATCCCAAACCACACACTGAAACTGCAGAACGAGCGGCGGCCATATCAGCCGCCGGCGCGTTCTGCTCATGTGTGCTGCCATCTTGGAGTGTATCTTGGTATACAACAAGATAGCGGCGCCCGCATGTTCGAGCGCTACAATCTTGGTGTATACCAAAATATACTCCAACATGGCAGCATGCATGGGCAGAACGTGCCGGTGGCCAATTTGGCCACTGCTTGTTCAGCGTGTGATGTCACCGTCATGTGATGTCATACACTTTGCCTCCAAGATGGCGGCGGGCATGTTCAAAACTTGGCCTCCAATATGGCCGTTGCGCATTCTGAAAACGGATTTATGTATGTATGAATATAGTTTTCGTATATTTGAGCATATAATAAATTTGTTATTTCGGACAAACCGCTGAATCAACTGAATTTCGTTGATTTGCAGGTTCGTCCGAATCCGAATGCACATGCCTACTAATTACAAGTATGAATCCTTTTCTTTCCTACAGAACTGGTTCATATCTACCGTGTTTCCCCGAAAATAAGACAGTGTCTTATTTTTTGGGAAACACGGTAAGCTGCGGCCGGTCTTCACATGTAAAATTTAATTACATGTGCAGCTACCCCGAAGGTAAGACCTAGCGCTATCTTCAGGGATAAGACCTACCACAACACTAGGTCTTATTTTCGGGGTAGGTCTTATATTACAGAAATCCCCGAAGATAGCGCTAGGTCTTATTTTCGGGGTAGGTCTTACAAACACGGTATGTGCTGTAGTTTAGTGTGAAGGGTAAGAAAAACTTTATGGCTCCATTTACACCTATACATGCTTTACCACACAGACTGCATCACACATGCAACAGTGTGAATCCAGCCTTAGCCATTAACTCAGTTCAGGAAGTAGACGTTGACCGAGGATAATGCTTACACAAAGATGGCTCCAACCTTCTGATGAGAAAAGCAAATGAAGGCATTGCCAGCAGGAGTACTGTGATCTCTGTGAGAGGTAATAAATACCTGGAAGTATTACACTTACACTTTACTTAGCACATGCACGCACTTAAAATAAGAAAAAAATTATCTGATGATAGGTATGCTTTAAAATATTTTCAAATATCCATCTGTATTTTCTTTGGAAGCTAGGGACTAGTTGTGCTTTTCTGCTCTAGTACCCTAGCCTATAAACCTCAGTCATCAGTTCTCTTGCTTATTGCTTAGCCTTGCACAAACAGGTAATTGGTTAGTAGAATTTATTTTATTACAACATTAAATGTCATGTGTTTTATGAATAGGGACAATTATAGAAAACACATTATTGTTGGAAGAACGCATTCATAAACAGCGAGCTCGTTGTATTCCTCTGCTCCCTAAAGCTTCATGTCAGTGATTCAGAAAATAGAACTCATTTACATGGAAAATAAACATATAAGTTGAATTTCTTTTCTATAGAGTTATAAAGTCGAACATATTGTATTTTAATGACTGAACAAAATATATGATCCCATAGCACTTTTGAGGTCTAAATGTATATGGTATCAATGTATCCGTTAACAGTCTGGGGAAATCACAACTATAACATAGGAGAAGATAGCGGAGCCGTGATCCAGGTGCTGGTTTCTTTTGACGCAGGAGGGGTTGGTGCAGAGTATTGTCACGCATGTTAATGTAAAAAGATAGCAGATGCAGGAAGAGCCATAATGACTGAGGAAAACTGGTATAAATGCAGGATATGGTGGTCAGGTATGGGATTGCTATATGGGGACTCTCTAGATCAGGGCTCAGCAACCTTTTACACACCAAGTGCCATTTTTGAAACCATCGGAAAACCGGGTGCCAGTGAACAATAGCACGCCATAGTGTTAGATACATTTCAATTTTTCCACTCATAGCTGTACTGCTAATAGTAAGTTAAACTCACAATTTTTTTTAATGTGTTTACCTTGCCATTAGCAGCACATCTATTAGTGAAAACATTTAATAACTAGTGCACACACAAACCATATTCATATTTACATCTGCTGAAAAGTATACTGGACTTACAGTTTTAACACGATCCCTGTGTCTTTATTTGATGGCTCAGTTATTTGTGAGGGCATGCATGTGTGCTGGAACGAGGGTTAATGTTTATGTGAGCATAAAGGTCTGGGGCAGGGTGTGCAGTAGATCCTTCCTGTCGGGCAGGGTACAGTAATCCCGTCCCATCACATCAGGCTTGGTTGAGCCCCCTCCTGTCTGGCGGGCTGGCACAAGAGGGATCCTTCAGGCAGGAGCATGCGCAGAACGGCCCCGTCAGCGCGCCTCTGCGTTCCTATGCCGCTCAGCCATGTCACTGAGGTGGGTGGGCCAGTAAATGTAATTGACAGCCGGCTCGAGGGAGCTGTCAACTACAAGCAAACAGGTCGACTCGCGTGCCAGCTGTCAAGGTCTCACGTGCCAGGCTGGGCACGCGTGTCGGGGGTTGCCGACCCCTGCTCTAGATAAACTAAAAAGAAAAAAACCACAGTTAAAGTGATAATAAAGTCAAAAGGTTTTTAAGCTATTATCAAATGCTGATTAAATCACTTACAGTGGATGCTGCTCCTTGATGTTTAAAGGTTTTAGTTTCCTGCAGAATCAGCTAGTCCCTTGAGCATGTTTTAGGTTGGCTATTTTTCCTATGGAGCCACCCTTGTGTGTGTGTTAACATGTTGCATGTCTTCACAACTACACAAACACAGCAAGGCAAGTCACTCCCCTACTTCCTGCACCTTTCTCCTCCAAGCTAGTCCATGGACGGCTGCTGGAGATTGCTCTGTCCCTTGTGACATTGTACTCAACAGGAAATTCAGGAGAGCTGAGCTGAGAGGATTAGAGAAAGCTGTTCTGAAACATAATGACTGTAAGTGGATACGAAGTGTAAATATTTGATCTGGATTCATTATTAAAAATAAAGTACAAAAGTTAAATACTAGTGTAGGAAATTTGATAGGCTTCCATAAAGTAAACATGCGGCCAGGGTATACATACTCCCCAAATGTCCATCAGCTTTGTACAGAGGGTCTATCAGCATCTGAGGTCCATATTGTTGATGAAGAGGGCAAGGGGGATATTGCAACTCTTTAGAAAAAGTACCTCTACTTTCATGCACAACAGAGCATCTGCATTTTCCAATATCAAACTCCACATGCCAGCTCATAGATCCCAACTGTCCCTATTTTAAAAACAAATCCTTCTGTCCCTCTATCCCCCCCCCCCCCCTTTCCCCCAGATGTCCCTCTTTTTGCTTCAATTTATATACCTCAATACAACAAATTAATATACAACTATCAATAAGTGTTTTACTGAACTTTACCTTTTAGCCAACCTCTAAATGATTACATTTGTTATTTTAAGAGGTCAGTATAAAGGAAAATAAGTGGTGGAAAAGAAGCACTTCTGGGTTTGACCAAACAGTTTTTGAGTAGAAATTATTTACTGATCCGCGTCACCGGAGGTGTGACAG